TATATATATATATATATATATATATATATATATATATATATATATATATATATATATATATATATATATATATATGTATATGTGTGTGTGTGTGAGTTATATATATATATATATATATATGTGTGTGTGTGTGTGTGTGTGTGTGTGTGTGTATGTATATATATATATATATATATATATATATATATATATATATATATATATATATATATATATATATATATATATATATATATATATANAGCGCTCGCTGTGTGTCNNTTTTATTTNCNCACATTATATATGTATATATATACAGGTCTGCTGATGGATATATATATATATATATATATATATATATATATATATATATATATATATATATATATATATATATATATATATATATATATATATATATATATATATATATATATATATATATACACGTTTTTTTGTAAAAATGCTTCTGTTAATTTTCATGCAACTTTAAACATTGATTTACATATGTTAAAAATGCTTTGTGTGGACAAAAAAATGTGTAGACACAACTTTCAGTCAGAAATCTGTACATGTCTGTGTGTGTGTGTATATATATATATATATATATATATATATATATATATATATATATATATATATATATATATATACACACACACACACACACACACACACACTCAACACTTTATAAGCTACACCTGTCCAACTGCTTGTTAATGCAAATTTCTAATCAGCCAATCACAGGGCAGCAACTCAATGCATTTAGGCATGTAGACATGGTCAAGACGATCTGCTGCAGTTCAAACTGAGCATCAGAATGGCGAAGAAAGGTGATTTAAGTGACTTTGAACGCGGCATGGTTGTTGCCAGACGGACTGGTCTGAGCATTTCAGAAAATGCTGATCTACTGGGATTTTCACGCACAACCATCTCTAGGGTTTACAGAAAATGGTCTAAATAGAGAAAATATCCAGTGAGTGGCAGTTCTGTGGGAGCAAATGTCTTGTTGATGCCAGAGGTCAGAGGAGAATGGCCAGACTGGTTCCAGCTGATAGAAAGGCAACAATAACTCAAATAACCTCTCGTTACAACCAAGGTATGCAGGCGGACGGGCTACAGCAGCAGTAGACCACACCAGGTGCCACTCCTGTCTGCTAAGAACAGGAAACTGAGGCTATAATTCACACAGGCTCACCAAAATTGGACAATAGAAGATTGGAGAAATGTTGCCAGGTCTGATGAGTCTCGATTTCTGCTACAACATTCGGATGGTAGGGGCAAAATTTGGCATCAACACCATGAAAGCATGGATCCATCCAGCCTTGTATCAACAATTCAGGCTGGTGGTTTTGGTGTAATGGTGTGGGGCCCTTTTCTTGGCACACTTTGGGCCCGTTAGTATCAATTTAACATTGTGTCAACGCCGCAGCCTACCCGAATATTGTTGCTGACCATGTCCATCCCTTTATGACCACAGTGTACCCATCTTCTAATGGCTACTTCCAGCAGAATAATGCGCCATAAACCGCAAATCATCTCAGACTGGTTTCTTGAACATGACGATGAGTTCATTGTACTCAAATGGCCTCCACAGTCACCAGAACTCAATCCAATAGAGCACCTTTGGGATGTGGTGGAATGGATGATTCGCATCATAGATGTGCAGCCAACAAATTTGCAGCAACTCTAGGATACTATCATGTCAATATGCACCAAAATCTCTGAGGAATATTTCCAGTACCTTGTTGAATCAATGCCACGAAGGATTAAGGCAGTTCTGATGGCAAAAGTGGGTTCTACCCGGTACTACTAAGGTGTACCTAATAAAGTGGCCGGCTAATTTAGATTATTGTCATCACCATGCATCATATCCACTGTACGATTACAGGATCATCATAATTGGACATCAATAGCATGCACAGTGAAGCATCTAAACACACGTGTGTCTGGAAACGAGGGTTTTTCTCGGCTCCTCCATTGACATCTTAACAGCCTTCAGTGATGAAGAAGAAGCTGAAGCGTCTCAGAGGATCATAAAGCTGTCAGATGAACATCATATCAGCTCTGTGTGTGTGTGTGTGTTTGTCTGCAGTCATAAACAACCACAGCCATAATGCCCAATAATGATGTGATGGAGAAAAGCCTCATACTGGACATAAAGCACAGTTTAATGGGTAAATGTGCTGAAGATCTCAACATATAACACACATTCAAACAGCCAAAGAGGCTGTGAGAGTCAGGAGGAATGTGTGTGTGTGTCTATTTTATGACATTAAAATATGTGCAAGTTATGAGGTGTTTAGTACAAACCCACACCGATTTTATCATTATTATTATTATGTAGATTACAATAAAAATTGCATTAGTCACTCTGCATTTTAGTAATAACTTTTAACGAATCATCAGAATATTTGTGTTGTAAATATGCCTGAAAATCTTGTTTTATCAAACACTGAAAGATATTTTAGTTGGAGTCTGCTGTTATTCATGGTATAAATGTAAGATAGAAATTAATTTAGGCTCAGAAATGTTACAATTAAACAGGGTGATTTATATGTACATAATAATAATAATAATAATAATTATAGAAATACTTAAATTATTATGAGATGGTTATTTCTTTCCAAATTAGCAAGTCGACATCTTGGATCCAACTTTACTTTTTTACTCCAATGGCCTCCACAGTCACCATATCTCAATCCAATAGAGCAGTGTAATCTGTTATACAGGGTGGGCTATTTATATGGATACACTTTAATAAAATGGGAATGGTTGGTGATATTAACATCCTGGTTGTGTCACATTAGTATATGTGAGGGGGCAAACTTTTCAAGATGGGTGGTGACCATGGTGGCCATTTTGAAGTCAGCCATCTTGGATCCAACTTTTGTTTTTTTCAATAGGAAGAGGGTCATTTGACACATCAAACTTATTGAAAATTTCACAAGAAAAGTAAGGGTGTGCTTGGTTTTAACTTAACTTTATTCTCTCATGAGTTATTTACAAGTTTCTGACCACTTATAAAATGTGTTCAATGTGCTGCCCATTGTGTAGGATTGTCAATGCAACCCTCTTCTCCCAGTCTTCACACCTGACAGCAACACCGCAGGAGAAATGCCAGCACAGGCTTCCAGTATCCGTAGTTTCAGGTGCTGCACATCTTGTATCTTCACACCATAGACAATTGCCTTCAGATGACCCCAAAGATAAAAGTCTAAGGGAGTCAGATCGAGAGACCTTGGGGGCCATTCAACTGGCCCACGACGATCAATCCACTTTTCAGGAAACTGTTCATCTAGAAATGCTCGGACCTGACACCCATAATGTGGTGGTGCACAATCTTGCTGGAAAAACTCAGAGAACGTGCCAGTTTCAGTGCATAAAGAGGAAAACACATCACCATGTAGCAATTTCAAATATCCTGTGGCCTTGAGGTTTCCATTGATGAAGAATGGCCACACTATCTTTGTTGTCTATGGTGTGAAGATACAAGATGTGCAGCACCTGAAACTACGGATACTGGAAGCCTGTGCTGGCATTTCTCCTGCGGTGTTGCTATCAGTGTGTGAAGACCGGGAGAAGAGGGTTGCATTGACAATCCAACACAATGGGCAGCACATTGAAAACATTTTATAAGTGGTCAGAAACTTGTAAATAACTCATGAAAGAATGAAGTTACATTAAAACCAAGCACACCGTTGCTTTTCTTGTGAAATTCCCAATAAGTTTGATGTGTCAAATGACCCTCTTCCTATTGAAAAAAACAAAAGTTGGATCCAAGATGGCCGACTTCAAAATGGCCACCATGGTCACCACCCATCTTGAAAAGTTTGCCCCCTCACATTTACTGATGTGCCACAAACAGGCATTAATATCACCAACCATTCCCATTTTATTAAGGTGTATCCATATAAATGGCCCACCCTGTATAACAGATCGCACTGCTCTATTGGATTGAGATATGGTGACTGTGGAGGCCATTGGAGTACAATGAACTTATTGTCATGTTAATGATTCACTCTGAGATGATTCGCTCTGTATGACATGGTAGCCATCAGAAGATGAGTACACTATGGTCATAAAGGGACAGACATGGTCAGCAACAATACTCAGGTAGGCTGTGGCGTTGACACGATGCTCAATTGGTACTAATGGACCAAAAAAATATACCCTCACACCATTATACCACCACCAGCAGCCTGAACTGTTGATGCAAGGCAGGATGGATCCATGCTTTCATGTTGTCAATGCCAAATTCTGACTCTACCATCTGAAAGTCACAGCAATAATCAAGACTCATTAAACCAGGCAACGTTTTTCAAATCTTCAATTGTCCAATTTTGTTGAGCCTGTGTGAATTGTAGCCCCAGTTTTGAGGTACTGTTGCCTTTCTACCAGCTGGAACCAGCCTGGCCATTCTCCTCTGACATCAACAAGGCATTTGCGCCCACAGAACTGCCGCTCACTTGATATTTCCTATTTTTCAGAACATTTTCTGTAAACCCTAGAGATGGTTGTGCGTGAAAATCCCAGTAGAGCAGCAGTTTCTGAAATACTCAGACCAGTTCGTCTGGCACCAACAACCATGCCTCAATAAAAGTCACTTAAACCACCTTTCTTCCCCATTCTGATGCTCGGTTTGAAAAGCAGCAGATCGTCTTGACCATGTCTACATGCCTAAATGCATTGAGTTGCTGCCATGTGATTGGCTGATAAGAAATGTGCGTTAACAAGCAGTTGGACAGGTGTACCTAATAAAGTGGCCGGTGAGTGTATATGTAGTCAGGACACAGTGTGGGACGATGGAAAGAACCAATCCAGCACGACCTTCTTTTTTCCACATCTTTTTAATCACTGTAATGTAACTCGTCTGGCACTTAGATTCATCATTTTAGAAAAGGCACTTCACATCGCTTTGTATGATTTTATCAAACTACAAGCACAAATTATCTGCCATGGTGTCATCCAGACATCCAGCGTGATTAAATCTGGCCAAAGAAAACACAGATTCTCCAAATTGTGACGACTGAGCTTTTCTGAATACAGTAAAATCTCACACCGAACATTGACCAATCAGAGCTGCATTTAAAGCACATAAAGCCTCCGAGATTGAGGGAAGATCTGAAATTTCTCATTACAGGTGTTATTGTCCGCCAGGTGGAGTTCTGCAGGTGTGGTTTCTAGGTGGCGCTGTTGCCCAGGGCAGTTTTCAGCTGGCGCAGCAGCATTGAGCCCATGACGCTTTTCTCAGTGTTTACTGTGATCTGAGCATCTGGATCCTTCAGAGTCACTGAAACCAACACCAGAGAGGAAGAGCTCACCGTCTTACCTGCAAACCTGCAAACACACACAGCAGATGAAATCCCAGCAGATGAATCCCAACACTGCACTTGGGCATAAAAACACAAAACTGTTTCATTACTTTTTCTTTCTCTCCATCTTTCATTTTCTTTTAATATTTCATGTTTTCTTTTTTTCTCTTTCTTTCCCTCTTTTTAGTGCTTTCTTATCTTTAATTTCTTTCTTTCTTTCTTTCTCTTTCTTTTTCTTTCTTTCTTTCTTTCCTTTTCTTTAGTTTCTCTCATTTCCTTCCTTCTTTTTTTTCATGATTTTTTTCATTTTGTTTGTTTTATCCTTGTTTTATTTTATTTTCCATTTCTTTTCTCTTCTTCTCCTTAATTTTCTTCCTTTCATTTCTCTCCTTTTATTTCCTTCTTCCCAACCCTTCTTTTCTTCTTCCTTTTTTTCTTTCTTTCTTGTTCCATTTTTTCATTTATTTTCCTCTATTTTTCTCTTTTCCTTTTTTCATTTCCCTTCTCCCTTTCTTCTTTCTTCCCTCTGTTTGTTTGCTTTTTGTTTCTCATTTCATTTTTTATTTTACCTCTTTCTTTTCTTCTTTCTCTTCCTTTTGTTCTTTCTTTCCTTTACTCTTTCATTTCCTTTTTTCTTCCCCTTTTCTTTTTTGTTCTTTTCTTTTATTTTTCTCTTTTCTTTCGTTCTCCTTTAGTTCCTTCCTTCCTTTACTCTCTCTTTCTTTTCCTCTCTTTCTTTCCCTTTACTTTCTCTTTCTCATTTCCTTCCTTTAAGTTTCTTCCTGTCATGTTCTTCCTTCCTCCCTCCCTACCTTTTTTCTTTTTTTGTTTTTTCTTCTTTTCTTTTCCTTTCTTTTCCATTTTCCTTTCTTTTCTCTTCGTTTCTTTCTTTCCATCTTTCTCTTCCTTTTATTTGCTTCCTTTACTCACTCGCTCTCTTTCTTTCATTTCCTTCATTTTTCATTTCTCTTTTTTCTTCCCTCTTTCTTGCTTGTTCCCTTTTTTCTTTGCTTTCTTTTTCCCCTTTACTTTGTAAATATAAATAAAATATTATAAATATGTAATAAATATTATATTACATTATATATATATATATATATATATATATATATATATATATATATATATATATATATATATATATATATATATATATATATATATATATATATATATATATATATATATATATATAAACACAGAGAGAAAGAAAGAGAGAGAGAGAGAGAGAGAGAGAGAGAGAGAGAGAAAAAAAAATAAAGAAAAAAAAGAGAGAGAGAGAGAGAGAGAGAGAGAGAGAGAGAGAAGAGAGAGAGAGAGAGAGAGAGAGAGCGAGAGAGAGA